TACATTGACATACTTGGTTGGATTTGGACTTGGAGTCGCTATTCCAAGCCCTCCCAGACTCGTCTTCTCTGAAACGGAGTTCTACTGGGAGAAAGGCCAAGCCCTCCGAAACGCCCTTCTCTCTCACATTTCCATTATTTGAACAAGACAAATACAGTGTGATTGGATTTTAGGAACTTCCAGGTTTTGGGGGGAAAAAACGGAACTTACACGTTTTGTGAAGTTACTCACATCCCTTGTGAAAAAACTTGCACTATTTGTGAAAGGTTACACATTTGTGAAATAATTTATTTTATAAAATTTAGACCTTTTCATTGAAATACTTAAACCTTTTGTGAGATTATTAAAAATCATGTCTATTAAACAATTTACACGTTTTATTGGAACTTACACTTTTTCTGAGAACAGAACTTACACCTTTTTTGAAATAAGTTACATCTTTTCTCAACATGCTTACACCGTTTATGGAAATCTGAATTATATTTTCCTAAAATTTAAACCTTCAATGGGAAGTTACACCATTGTGACATAACTTTCATGTTTTGTGAAAACTACATACATGTTTTTGAAAATATACACCTTGCATGGAAGGAGTATTTGAATAAAATTTATACCTTTTGTTAAAAACATAAACCTTTTCTGAATGATTACACCTTTTTGTGGGAATGCTTACACCGTTTCTGAATGGTTACTGCTTTTGTGAATAACTGTTTTCATAAAATTTAGACTTTTTATGGGATATTACAACTTTTCTGCCAGCAAAACTTACACCTTTTTAAAAAATTTACACCTTCTATGGAAAATATGTTTTCAGCAAGTTTACACCTTATTTTAAAAGCTTACACCTCTTCTAAAAAGGTACTCCTTTTGTGAAGCAAACATGTTTAAAAAATTGTACACCTTTTAAATAGGAGTTACATCTTTGGTGAAGACAGTTAGACCTTTTTTGAAAATTTACACGTTAAATGCGTTTGTAGTTTATGTTTTTCAAAAAATAAACAAAAACTAGTTTATAAATTTTTTGTAAATATAAACTGAAAACGTAAACGTTACCAAACACACCAACAAATTTTTTGACAAAAGGTATAACCTTTTCAAATATGGTGTATGTTTGTCCGAAGAAGGTGTAAATGACCATAGCAAAGATGTAAGTTTTGTTTTTCACTAAAGGTGTAACTTGAAATAATAAGTGTAAATTTTATGAAAAATGTTTTTTCACAAAATGTGTAATTTTTCAAGAAGTTGTAAATATTTCCGAGAGAATGTGTAAATTTTTAGGAAAGGTGTAAACTTTAGGAATGGTTGTAAACTTTGTGAGTTTTTACAAAAGGTACAAGTTCCCAAAAAAGACCAATCATTGAAGCTGAATGTTTCTTTTTTACAAAAGATATAAGTTCCCAAAGAAGACCAATCCCAATAAAGCTGAATGTTTCGTTTTTAGAAAAGATCCAAGGTGTAACTTTTACTTAGAAGGGTCACTGCTGTGGTAAATACACAGCAGTGACTGTTGTGGTTCATTTTGTGATGCATTATGAGTTTATTTTTATGATCTGAACTGTTCATTTTGTAGGATATGTTAAGTACTTCAAACCTACCAAAAATCATATTAATCGGATATCAACAATTATATAATCGAATTGCATATTTTTATACTATTTTTTAAAAGAAAAACTTCTTGTTTGTTTTTTTGGTTATCAATCATATAGTTATTGGTATCCGATTAATATGATTTTTGGTAGGCTTGAAGTACTCAACAAACCTTACAAAATGAACGATTCAGATCATAAAAATAATTCCATAATACACTACAAAATAAACCACAACAGTCACTGCTGTGTATTTACCACAGCAGTGACCCCTAATCCGAAAATTAATGTAATGTAAAGATATAAAGTTCCAAGGTGTAACTTTTATGAAGAAAATTAATTTATAAATGATGTCAGTTTTCATTAAAAGGTGTAGTTGTCAGAACAAGTATAAAACTTTAAAAATTGCCGAAGTGTTCAGAAGAGGTGTAAGTTCCGTCGGCCCGTCCGTCTCTCTTCCATCTCGGACCTCTCTCTTTGTTTGTCTTTCTGTCTGCCCGTCTCTCCGTTGTTCCATTTCCCCGTAGCTGTATGGTTTTACAGAGAACAATATTTGAGTGCTGAGCTTAAGTTCTTGGGAAGGCTAGCCATGGAAGTGGATGCGTAAATACTTTTTTTGAGTTGATTTTTGTCGGTGGAGCACAACCGCAAGGGTTAATCGAGCACCACCGTCGGTTCATCTGATCCGGTTGGTATTTCCTTTATTTCGTGCTGGTAAAAGGAGTAACTTTTCCAAAAAAATATAAGCACTTCCACGAAAAGGTATAAGCTTGAAACTTGTTTGTACGCCCGGAAAAGTATTCTTCTCTGATCTGCCCACTGTCTGACCACCCGAAGGTAATGGAGCATGGGCCACGATGCAGCCACCTCGATTCTCTGCAACCAAGTTGCTCAGTAGGAAATTGAAGCTCTCAACTTGATGGATGGGGTTTCATCTGGTTTTCGTGCCTGGGATGAGCACCAATTTCTCTGACAGCAGAATCGTGTCCTGATTGTTTAACCCCGTCATGAAATAGTTCAGTTGCTTCTTTGTCATTTGTAGTCGGGCCTTCATAAAAGTATGTGCGTGTAGTCCTTCAGCCCTAAATGAAAAACACAATGTAGTCCTTCCTCTTGAATATTTGTGAAATTATGCATTTATCGCTTGTACACATAATTGTTTTAATTGTAAGCTGTGTGAACGAAATGCAAAATTTCCATGTGTGCCCTTTCTTTTGTCTGTTTCAAAATCTGTATGTGTTGGGAAATTCTGCGTGTTGTTGTCTGTGTTTACGCAAAATTTTAAGGTTAACAGCCACATGTTGCAGCCGTTTGTTTGTGTTCTTGTAAATATTGATTGGAATACTTTGTAGGAGTTGTCGTCATTGCATCTAATGGATATTGGTCACCTCGCACCAACAATGTTAGTTTTCTCCTTAAAGACTTGCTACCAGTTGGTTTCATACATATGTTTGTAAACAAATGAAATCCATCACCAAGGAATACGCTGATTTTTTTCCGGATCAATGCTTTTGTACTTTTGTGTTTGTGTTATTTGTTTTGCACAAATTTTGAATGGCCTCGCTTTGCAGCATCAATTTTGAACTTTTGTTTCAATTACGTCCATTTGATTACAACTCTTCACTGTTTTGTATCAAAAAATATTCATATACGTGGCAATTGTACTTTTTGTTGTAGTCAACTTATAACTTTACTGAACTTACATAATCTCAATCAATTGACATTACAATCTTTGTTTTAAAAATGACAAACGGCATTAGCAATTTGACCGAAAATGTCCACGAAATTTGAAATGGACTGTCACAATTTAGGTAGTTTAAAGTGCATCAATCCAAATTAGACAACGGACAAAATGTGTACACCACCCGTGTAATTTTCCCTTCAATCTAATTTGTATGATTTGCTCTTTCATAAGGGGAAGGAAAAGATTGAAGACAATTGCCGAACAACATATCCAAATGTCTGACACTATCGCTGGCTCTTGTTGAAAGCGGCCAGTTGCACCATTCATTTGTTACAGGTACTAGTTGTTTATTTTGACAATCTGGAATTACATTTTTCGTACTGAAATTACACGCCTCGTCGAAGTTCAGTTTGTGATGTTTCAAATTGGTTTTGTTCCGCATGTCTGAAAATGTTTAAATTGGTGTCGATTCAGTCCCGGATGCACGAAAGCTGTCTTATGCCGATTTCGGGGCCAGCTTGACATAAAAACTTGCATATATATATATATATGTATTCATATTTCACATTTAGTGATGATAAGCTTGACGATGCTTGCATGCAGCCAGCAACAATTCAAGGAAATGCAAGGGCCAGACAACACTCGACGAAAAATGGTGAGTGTCGAAATCTGTATTCTCTATAATACACTATGATGGAAACACATCGCTGGGTTGCTATCCACACGTTGTATTGAATGGTCGTAGTGGGCTTCTGATTGTTTCGCGTTTGTAGGATTGTAGCATGTAATAATGTCACTTTCCTATTGTTTTTGTAAATTTCAATTCGTTGTAAAAGTCCAGCTACGTTTTGTCGCTGACTTTTTGCTACAACTGTTATTTGTATTTGCAATCTTATTTAATTACCAACAATGCACGCGGATTGCGTTTGGCATAAAGTTGTAGTTACAGTAATTTTGGACTCATAGTTGTTACTTGTCTTGTACGTCTGTCATTTTCTTGGTTAAAGACTAGAAAGGAGATTGGGGAAAGGTAGAAGGCACTCCCCTCTGATGAGAAAAAGAGGTTTGCGGAAATGGCTAAGGCGAGCGCTGAGGAACACACCAAAGTAGTACCATGTGCACCGAAGTCTGAAAAGTTCATTACGTACTTGATGTTTTCGTAAATGCATTTGGCTAGGTCCTGCTTTGCTGACATTGTTGGTTGTATTTTTGTATTAATTTAAGGGTAAAAAATGTGCAGGGTAAAAGGCAACTCCGCATATCATTGAAGTCAATTGCTGACCTAGTTAACCGGTTCAACGAAGCACAAAAGCAGGCAGTCATTGACATTGGGTTTGCTAGCCTCCTGGGGATGAAGTGTACACGTATAGATCACGACTTGTGCGCATGGTTGGTACAGAACTTCGATCCTGACAGTAATTCATCGAATGTTCATGGTTGTCAAGTTAGGCTCACGTGTAAGGCAGTTAATGTTTTATTGGGAATACGGTGTGAAGGCGATGACGTGCAGTTGGCTGGGTCATTAGAAGCATATCCCAATATCTACGATGAGGTTGGAGTTGTTAACGGAGTCATTCCTTTGAACAAGTTGAGACTTTATCTGACAGAGACTGCTGGTACGGAGGACGAGTTTCGGCGGAAATTTGCGCTGTACGTGTTGGGGGCCATGTTGTGTCCTACCACAATGACCGGGTTGAAGCCATTTGTCTGTGTTTATGCAAAATTTTAAGGTTAACAGCCACATGTTGCAGCCGTTTGTTTGTGTTGTTGTAAATATTGATTGCAATACTTTGCAGGAGTTGTCGTCATTGCATCTGATGGATATTGGTCACCTCGCACCAACAATGTTAGTTTTCTCCTTAGTATAAAGGTCATCGTGGTGCAACTGGATGTGTTTTCCTGCTAATGGTATGCCAATAACTTGATTTTTTTTTTCCATTCCCCCCTTCATGTGTTTCATGCATTGTTCTGTCATGGTTCAACAAATTGGCCTTGATTGGGACATACAATGGTACCTGCTTTGTGAGTACGACAAACAGCACTCTTCCTGACCAAGTATGGTACTTGCAGAAATAAATTTTGTGTGACTACCGTCATGAATTTAAGAACAAAGAGTACAGGGCAAAAAGTATGCCGAACCTCAATGGAGGAACCAATTAAAACTACGTTGCGAAGAGGGGAACATGTACATAAATTTTTTTTCTTGGTTTCATCAATAATCCTTGGTGTGCTGTACAATTTTTTCCCCAAAAAACATTGCATGATATGTGCCTATAAAGTTGACAGCATCCTCAAAAAAATCGGTATGCTATGTACGTTCCACTACAAAATTGAGAATAATGAATGTCATTGTTACTGAATATAGTTCATTTTTGTGGGACGAACAACTTAATTATGGTGTGCCCCTTAATGTCCACAGCTGTTGTACCTTGATTGTGTTTGTCTGAGCTCGACCACGACGCGGTCCACACCTCGGCTTCATGATTGGGGTGATACCCAAATACGGGAGACGCTGCGACGTATCAGAAGGAAGCAAAATTTCCCAACAATTGCGGTAAGCACTCCTACCACTGTGCACATTTCACACCATCGACCCCAACATACAATGTCAGACTTCATTTATGCGTTTCTATGATTAGGTGGAGTTTGATTACAGTAACGCCGATGATGCTGACATGGATGCATGCCATGTCGAGAACCAACAAACAGGACAGTACAATGAAGTCCATATGAGCAATTTGGAGTCTGACATTCGTGAACTGAAGGAAATGATGAAGCAAGTTCTCCATAACCAAACAGATTTAATGGAGATGTTGCAACATTTCGAAGGCAAGCAAGTTGTTGGCAATGACAAGGTAATCCATCCAAGCATTACGCAATTTTCACACACTTGAGCCATATCATTTGAAGATGGTTTGTAAGACTAAGTTCACGAATGTATATGTATGATTAGGTGGAAGGCAATGATGTGTGTATCATTAACCTCTCCTCTAATGTTGCTCAACTGAAGAAAATGCTGAAGCAACTGCTTCAACGTTTCAGTTTGGGCTGCAACGAACCGTTCACTGAACAAACCAATTTACGTGAACTGAAGCAAATGCTACACCACCTCATCGAAGGTATATTCTCTACACCGCAACCGGTAGGCGTGGCCAAACAGGGTGTGGACCCTGCTATTCGAGTCGAGGCGCATGAGGATGGCGTGGTCAAACCATCTGACGAAGTTAACCCAATGGAGTGTAATATTTCAGATGTACAAGGGGTGGATCACCAACAACATATTTTGAAGGGAACCTTGGCAGGGGACAAAAGTCATTTGCATGATGGGCACAAGCTGAACATCGAAGAAGGTGGGGACAACAACAAGAAGGGAGGCCTTCAGTCAGGGGAAACATATGAAACTGAAGATAAATACAGTCCTGACCTTCAGTCAGTGGGCGTGAAGAACGTGGCGTGCGATGTGCATACTTCTCCTACTAAGCTTGGCAAACCATTGGGAGCAACTGGAATCGTTAAAGGAAGTGCGAAGGGAAGACGAAAAGGAAAAGGAAAAGGAAAAATGTGCGGAAGTGGAGTTCAAGCCACTGAGGTCGGGGATATGTAATTGTGCATCAATAGCAAAACAAATAGTGGAGTTGACGACAGCAGTTCACCTGTGGATGTTGATGGTGTGAATAAGGTGAACAAGGTACAAATACTGCCTTTAATGCCCCACAAGTTGTGAATACCCAATTCATGCCCACATCAATAATGTGAATCAGTAATTTTACAATCATCTGTGTTGTATTGTACTAGTTGTCAAAGAATTGCATGTTTGCAGTTATGACTGCTGCCATATATTAGTACACATTTCTAAGAAACTCCGCACCAAACATCACAAGTTGGGAAAACTCTGAGGCTCACAGTTTTTACATCATTTCACATTCTTTTTTATGACTACCGACCTTGTAATGTAAGCTTCAATATTTTTATGAAATGTGTACTGTTAGTTGGCTGTTTATTTTTGTAGGACTCGTTGACGATGTTGGACAGGGAAGGGTTGTTATCGGCGGAGAAACAAAAACTTCTTCACTATGTATTTGACGATAGCAAAAATGAAATGTGTTGTTTCATTTACTACTTGCAAATTTTAAATGACAGTCCACTGTGAAATAACTATCGTTCTAAGGATCATTTATTGCTTGTAGGGACATTGTTGTTTCCATGAATCTTCATGGACGGGCATGTGAAGTTGGCACCCGGCGTGACATGCGCACGCTCAAACCAGGGTCGTGGCTATCCGACACTGTAAGTGTTGGCTGCACAAATATGAATCTGCGTTTTTCAGTACCCCTGAACTCAGAAACCTTTCTAATCAACCTGCCTTGTGTCTTGCATACAATGTTCCAGCCAATCAACTTGGTGGTGGTGCAATTGACTAATCGATAGAGGGATTTACACAATGACGGAAGGCACACTGATTGGTTCTTTCCCGTATATCTGTCTGTAAGTAAGTGTTTAAAGCTACGTTGTGTATTGTGTATGACATATTTTGACAAATGTTTCCGTCAATGACCTTTACGCATTACACATGCAGACTATGATTCTAAATAAAGATATGCAACCTCTGGACCATGAACATATCGTCACATCATTTTTCGGACATGACAGATACACTGGTGCGATTGATGCATGCCAGAGGGTAATATCAATGTTCATCCCGTTATATTAAAACGAAAATATGAAAGCCATTACATGTTTGCATGGCCTCTAAACAAGGTCTGCCGTTGTGTTTACGTGTAGATTTACATGCCTTTCAATTACAGAGGAGTGCATTGGTTGTGCGTTAAAATTGATATGGCTGTACTCCATTTTGGTATTTTGTGCTATTCGAATAGGAACTCTTCCCTCTGCTAACCGAAATGGACCCAATAGGAACTGTTCTGTACTCCATTTTGGTATT